CTCGTGATAACTAATTAATTAAAAAAAAATCCATGACCGTTCTCGGCTTCCGTATAGATATATATATATATTTGTGAATATATACTGTACATGTGATTTACTGTATGTAAGTACTGAGAAAAAAACAACAAAAAACTACGGATTGCTCCTTTAATGCATGCATTACACTGTCTGTGTTGGCAGAGTATGTATACACGTGCAAAGAAACAATTTACAAAAAAGATAGAAACATACAGCAAACGTGACCATGGATACAGCCTAATTATAGGCATACAGTGTCTATAAGAAAGAAATAGCCCACATTATTTTACTAATCCTACTTTTTATCTGGTCATATTTTAAATACAATATTCCTGTCTTCTCAACACCAACACGTATTCATTTATCCACATTATTAAAATCTAGTACTTTTAGTTTTGAATGCAAAAATATCGACACTTCCGGCCAACTGCTGTGGTCGCTTGACGCCACTCGGGGGTCCGGTTGCCGAGTTGGACTGTACCATTGCAAAAGAACATGCTGTACCAAAATATACTTTTTTCACTTTTTCTGTCTGTGAACATACGATGATTTGTAAAATTATCATCACCAAATAAATTTAACTCATACGATTTAGCAACGAAAATAAATGTATTTTGTTTCAACTTCGTTCGAGACAGATCACAACATCCTGACATACAGACCAGTCTGTCAATTCAAACGTGAAATAAAGCTCAGCCGCCGTACATATTTTCATATAATGTTGTAATACTGAATTTAATTACATTGGACATGTATTCATCGTTTGCAAGCGCTTTAAAGGACTTTGTTTACAACCCCCCGCCAGTTCTCGGATGGTTTTGTCCCTCCAGTTCTTGTACAGCATGGTAGTTCACGTGCGCGCGTCCCTACCCCGCGGGGACACGTGTCTGAGCACGCTGCCTGCAGATGACGTTAGTGCACGTGAATCACTACTTTAAACACAAAGGCGCCCAATTGAGCATTGTTGTTCTTGTTAAGTTTTTCGTTGTTAGGACAAATTGTATGGATTTATTCTTTAAGTTCATTTAAGTTCTATGAGTGTATATATTTTACATATGATTTAATGCAAGGTTATAAATAATAGCTCTGTTTTAATGATTCTGACATTACTCTAAAACAGAGTATTTTTTTTTCCAACTATGGAGGAGAACTCTTTCTCCCTGCCCAGCCAGGGGTATGTACAGAAGAGGATTAGTGCCACATTTGAGTTCTGAGAATATTAAAGTCGGAATTCTGACTATAAAGTCAGAATGTAAGAATCAGTTTAGGCCTAAAACAATGATAAATTATTTTATTTTATGTATTTATTTTGCCTTAAACTACATTTGTCACATGTAACACAGGCAACATGCAGCTCTGGGGCCACATGTGATTCCTTAGCCCCTCCCAGTGGCTCCCTGTGGCTTTGACCAAAATATATGGAAATGAATAACAGTTTTGTTTTTGTTTTTTTAACATTTTTTATTTATCACTGTTGTAGGCCTAAATTGATTCTTAGCAATGGTAACGAGGTGTAGCCATTACAGGCTGACTAAAGGCATCATATGTTACATCCTGACCTGGAGCCTTTTCCTCTATAATTTGCCAAACCTCAATAGTGGTGGCTACTAGTCTTGAGTTAGCTAGGCTAGCTAGGAAAATAGAGAATTAAATAGTGTTTGGGTAGATTAGTTTGCTTTCACCACCAGCACTGGTGTGCATCCTTTTTGAATGAATACAGTCTTTCTTTGTCTGGTGCTGACATCATCCGTTATGAAATCAGATTTATGAAGGCCACAGATGACTTCATCGGTCTGCTGTGTCCCTGCTGAGAGAATGTCTGGGATGTGATGTTTATTATTAGTCCATTCTCTGATGAATCTCATCTCCTCTGTAGCAGCAAAGAGCTTGTACAGCACTGAAGGTAATGCATCCTTTTTTTACTTCTGTCTTTGTTTGTAGGTAATCCACAAAAAAACCTCAACAAAATATGTTATTTTTATGGTAAAAAACTGGCAGCTGTTAAATATGTTAGAACCCTTTTTACTATTACGGTAAAAGGATATTAAAACGAACAAACATGAACATGAAATAAGATAAAATAAGATGTACATTTGTTGATCCCCCATAAGAGAAATTCAAATTAGACACAGCAGCATTGGGGAATGTAGTGCAAGAGTACAGAAGTGTACACAAAATAATAAAAAATAAGGATATTACAAAATATAAAAGAAAATATAAGACTATAAATGAAAAATATATACACTATATGCAATGCAGTAAAATTGTGTGTCAAAGTATTTTGAGCAGCTTTGACTAAAATACTAAACTTTACATGTGCAACTTAAAGATAAATAGTTGTGCAAGAACTCTCTGTGTCGTAGGTTGGAGTTTAAACCGGTCTTAGTCAGCGGGTCAGCGGGGGTTGGAGGTACTGGGTGCTGTGGCGTTGTGGAGTCTGATGGCCGATGGTACAAACTAGCCTCCAAACCGCATTGAGGCTCCACCCTCTCTACCCTCTCCCCTAATCGCAACTGGGGTGTGTTTGCATATAGGAATCATAGCTTCATGTTCACAGAACCTTATCCTAGAATGCATTTTTCCAAAACAGTCTTGACTATTTGGAATTGGAGTTTAAACCGGTCTTAGTCAGCGGGTCAGCGGGGGTTGGAGGTACTGGTAGCCACTACTTATTCACTCACAGGTACCACAGACCCCCTTGTGCTCATCAGCAGAACTACATTATCTGTGCAGGCATTACAGTTCACTGAATTAAATTCTGCTTAGAAAGGAGATCTCTTTGTTGGCTGTTAATTTGTGGTCATTTGAAATGCAGACGAAGTCACTGAGATCATGCGTTCATATGTTAAATATCTGACACTTAAATGGGAAAAAAAAGAAAATTATTTAACCTAATGCTACACTTAAATTCACATTAAAAGGGCTCTCCAGCAAATTAATATTGCATGTCCAATGAAGTTGGGAGAATTGTGAGAGACAGATTAAAAAAGGGTGATCAAAACTGGTGCAGAAGATGTCTGACTTTAAATCCCCATATTGGTCAACCTCTGAAACACTGGATCCTACACTTCCCATAAAGCAACTCTACTCTGTTGCTCATAAAGCACTGATATAGTCCAAAACTTATAGTGATGCACAAACATTTCCATATGCTTATGTTTTCTTTTCTCAGACTTGACAAACCTCCTCTAAAACCACAAAAGACATTATACAACTGGTTTCACAGACTGTTTTTTTTTTTTTTTGCTCCAATTTATACATAGTGTACAAAGTACATAAATTC